ATATCCTTGAATTTGCACTTTGGAAACCTGTACGAACCCTGTTTTATCACTGGCAGTTGCCGGGCATCCTATTAAAAAAAATCACGAACAGAAAATTTATTTCATGGCGTCACTGCTCAGGTCATCAAATAGAGGGAAAGGACGAAAAATGAGAGGAGGGTTGCTGCAAAAGCCCTCCTTTCCTACTTCGCATGCAAGCGCTCATGCGCTCGTGCTTTCTTTCAGGTCCACTGGCCACTTGGTGCGGCCACTCATACAATTTTGTTAATGTTTTTTTTTTTTAATTTTTTTCATGTGTTTTGAAGAGGCGAAAGTTAAGCGGATGAATTTCTTAGTAAGACGAAAGTTGATATGCGCAAATGAAATGAAGTTTTTTATTGCACGTTTTGTACAAAAACAGACATACATGTAGTACGAAAGTGTCAATCAATAAAAGCAGCTTTAACTTACAACTGACATTCGCGCGTAATGAGCAAACATTGAACCCAGAATATCTGAACCAATGCAAAAACTATTAACAACCGCGAGTTGAACACGTCGTATTTGACGCAATCACGTTTGTTCTTATGGCGTGCATAGTTTTCTTACAGAACTTGACTACCAAACAAAACTGAAGTTCAGAGACATGGAGAGAGAAAGAACATCACTGAAAACAGTGTTTCTGCAGGCTGACTTGGAACTAGTTTGGGCAACAGCATTGCTTTGATGAAGAAAAGTTCACTTGTCAGAATGTTAGCTCAATTGGCATTCTCTGTAATAAATATTAGAAGCATTTGGTCCATCACTTGTATTTGAGTGGCAGTATTAGAAGTAAACACTCACAAATTTTCAAGCCACAGGTACAAGAATTTCACGAGAAGGAAGTAGCCTAACAGCGCTCATTTAGTACACATACACGCAAAAAAGAATATTATGCCTTTAGGGCAAGTCTATGTTGCAGTAAAAAAAAAATAAGGCAGCCTATAATTATTTGACACCATTTGAACTACACGCCAAAAATAAAAAAAAAAGCTAAAAACTGAAAAGCTAAAACTATGTAGTCAAGCCAACTCAAATTGAAGCCTTTCAATAAACGCATTTTTCCGACAGCAGCTTGGCTTGACTTATTAGTCAAGCGACACTGCACTTCTGTCAGTCCGGCCAGGCTTGCAGAAAACTGGGTTTACTCGTGTACTCATGCAAAATCAATACCTGCTCAAATAATGGGTCCAAATTCTTGTGCTCATTCATTGCCTTGAAAACGTTGAGAAACCTTTGCAAATTTAGAAATCCCCGGGCTAGCACACTGCACCGCAGCGGAAAACATGTGTTACCCGATCAAGCCATCTCTGACGAATGCATGTTTGACTTGTTCGGTGTAGCTCACTGTGGTTTCCACTTTGTGCCCGCCACAACTTGCTGCCTTTATCTTTCCCGTAGTTGCCGCGCTTCCACCGAGCGAGATAACTGAGCGCGATCCAACTTCTACTATCGCTGAGCGAGGGGTGAGAAGGAGCGGAGGCAAGCACTATGAACTCAAGTCTATCCACTTCCCGCGCTTCGCCTGTTTTAAAATTAACAAATGGAATAAGAAAAGATATATAAACAAAGGAGGAGCTCTTTACAGTTCTTTACAAAACTTGTGAAAGCCAATAAATACGAACATTCACAACAATCTCACTTAGTTCAACCGGATCTTAGGATGCCCAGCAACTGCTACGGGCGTGCATGTTGCTTGAACCTGAAACTAGCACTGAGTGTCCGGGGTCTGGTGTAGTGTCAGATAGTTAGAAAACTTGTTGTATAACCTGCTAACTTTGTTTTCACTGGGTTTCCTTTTTTTTTCACCTCTCATGTTTGGTCTCCACACTGCAGTACGTACTAAATAAAATAAATAAATAAAACGAAAGTGAGCAACACACTAAAGCTGCAGCTTTATGTTTTCACATCGCATGCGCACTTCGCAACTTGACGGGGTACCATACAGTGTGCAGGATTTCTGTCAATATTCCATGTAGTTTCTGTGCAGCGTTTTTTTCACTGAGCAGTCTACATAACCATGGAGTTCTGAGAAATTACTTGGCAACTTTAAATGATAGCACATTGTTTTGTTATCTTCTTCCTGCATTTTGTTGGCAATGGAGGTCTTTGGACTTTGGACATTTGGAACTATCAACAGATGTCTCATATCTTGATTTTCGTATAAGTACAACTAATTAATTGATCAGCATGTTGTGCACATGCCTTTGAAAAGGACAGTTGTGGTTATAGTGGCACAAATGTTCACAACTTCACTTCATAGGCGGTCTGTGCTGTATATCCAGCATATTACCGTATTTACTAGCGTAATCCTCGCACTCGCATAATTCTCGCACCCCCACATCGCCCAACAAAATACGATTTCTTTTTTTCTTCGAGTAATTATCACACCCCCGAAAACTGCCGCAATAATGTCGTCTGCTCGTTCCAGCCACTGATGATGATAGCACACGTCATCTGGCGCCATCTCTTAACCATGAAGCGTACTAGTGCATGGAGATTTCATCCAATCCAAGTCGAGCCGAAGTGGCCAGTGCGCGTTGCAACGTGTTTTGTATGTTGTGTCGGTAATCTTGTCACATTATGAGGCGATACTGAAGCTACACAGCTGCTTTCAAGTTGAAAGTGATAGATCATGCACTAAACAACGGCAACAGGGCCGCCGGTAGGCCCTTCGGAGTCTACGAGTTTTGTGTTCGCTACTGGTGACGGCAGCTGAAAGCCACTAAGACGCTAGTTATAGCGCAAGAACAAAACGACAACACAGAGACAAGAAGGACCACCAAGACGCTACTTATAGCGCAAAAACAAAACGACAACACAGAGACAAGAAGGACACGAGCGCTCGTGTCCTTCGTATCCTTCTTGTCTCTGTGTCGTCGATTTGTTCTCGCGCTATAACTATCGTCATGCCATACCAACTTGCCCAAGCTGCCACCAAGACGCATTGGGCCTGCCGTGTGCCTAAAACATGGATTGATGGTAACTTTTAATTAGTACTTCTTAAAGCTTGCTGTTAGTTCCTGGTGTGAGAATCCCGTTTTGCGGCCACTTCGTTTTCTTTTTCGCTCTGTACGTTTTCGTGGAAAGTTTTTCCCACGTAATTCTCGCGCCCCCCAACTTTCCATCGGTTTTCCGGCAAAAAAAGTGTGAGGATTATGCGAGTAAATACGGTAGTACTGCCTGCTGGAATTATGCACATACTGTTTCTTCATGCTTGAAAGGCTATCAAATAACTCGGAAACCATGGGAGTTCTGCTTGTTAGGTCACCTGTATAAGGAACTAATAGCCACTGAACAATCACTGTTGAGCATGAATTTATTCCAAGCAGATCCTTCTGCATTGATCTCAAGTAATTGGAAGCTCTTGATGTACATGCCGGCCAACTTGTTGTAGGGGCATGTAGATAAGTGTCCTGTAATAGCCCTAACGCCACCATGAGAAAAGAACAGTAACAAAGGACAGTGGGTCTGCCTTGAAAGACCACAGCAGCTTTCCAGAGGAGCCATGCAACTGTCCCAAATGACCGAATTGGGGGAATGGCACCTTTGGTTCTGCATTTAATATACGAACTGCTGCAGCATTGGCGGGTGGCATTTGTTTTTAACTGTCCAGCATGTCATCTTTAATTTTTGTGGGGAACCCATAGTAACAGAAAAATATATGTGATTTTTATGTTTCCGTGTTGTACCACAGCACACAGCTTCTATATGGCTGTTGTTTTAGGCAACATAATTAGTTTCTGCTTGCATTGAACAAAGTGACTTGTGCATAAAGGTTCGTTTTCGAAGGTGAATTGAGCTGTGGAACAGTTTTTCAGGGAACTCTCTCGTTTCGCGTCAACACTTTCAGGCGCCACTTATGAAGAATTGTCTGCAAATGTGTCAAATCGTTACGTTAGCAAGGCACTCAATAGTCTATTTCAACAAAAATAATGTCATAATATGTTAATTTATGTATGCTATAATAGTAACTATCCAAAAAACTGTGGGCAGGAGAAGATGCAAGCTTGCAATGAAAAATCTGCAAACAAGGGTTGTGTCGAGCTGATGTTTTGACAAGCAGACTAATCTTCCTCTAGCCTAGAACAGAACGACGTTTGAACAAGCAGACTTGTCTTCCTCAAGGCTGGAACAGAACACTTCTGTTATAGACTTGAGGAAGACAAGTCTGCTTGTCGGAAACATGGGCTTGACACACAACCCCTGTTTACAGATTTTTCATATTAGTAATAGCTGGTAATTCTAATTAAGTTACGAATTATTTGTTTGTCCTTACGTCATTGGTGCTCTGTTTTTGCATGAATAGAATAAAATCTCAAGCTAGAAATATAGTACAAGTCCATTTTTAGTTATGTCCATTTCAAGTAAACAATAATTATACTTTTACATGGCTTGCAGCAAGTCACCAGTCGAACCACTCTTTAAATATGGTATTGCCTTCAGAAAAGTTATGATATGTTGTCACGGGGTCGTGACATGGACGAAAGGTAGCAGGCTGGATGTTCAAATGAAAATGGTTTATTGGATCGAACTTGTGGCCGGTAAACGAAAAGTCAGATTACAGTAACTCAGCGACAACTGACAGCGCCGAACAGAGTGTCAGCCGTCGATCAACTGACAAGCATTGAAGCGGGTCAGCATTCATACACGTGCCGTCAAATGTTCTAGCATTATCGCTAGTGCCCACGTAGGTTCCAGAACAATCTGTAATGTTCGCGAAGTGGGTGTAACAAAATGATCTACTACAGTCCTGAAGCTTCTCGAACAGTGCAGCGGGGCAGTAACACAACGTAGGAATGAACATGATGATATATGGTAGCGCACACAAAGGACTCGGCAAAGGAAGGAATGTGGCAATATACAACAGTGCACTATAAAATGTGGTGTAATAAAAACAGATATAATAATGTAAGAGCTTCAATTCATGTAAATCTTCTCACTTTTTCTTAGTCGCATAAAGTAGATGCTCGTGTTTGCAGGTTTAAGGAACCAAGTTGCCACATGGAGCACCGCCGGCAGGACCCGGCGTCCTGCTGTAGCAGCCTGCCAAGCCTCTTTTTTACACAGTGCCCGGTTTCAAGCAGCGCACTCTTCCCGACCTGTCCTGCGGTCGGCATGCTTGCCATTTTGCCGACTTTTGTACATAACGCACTTGACGGGAGACAAAAGTTTTCAAATAGAGATGAGCCTCGTGGCTGTATGCACGGTGAATGGCCACTCAGTGATGCAAAGAGTGGACGTGCATAGCCTTCCGTGTGCCTTGCACGCTTGTGAGTGTTTTGGTAAGTTTGACTAAAGGCTGGTGCATCTGTCTGGCTGCCACAACATGCGTGTTGTACATATAATGCGCAACCCCGGTCATGCTTGACCATTCTCCTGGGTTTCTTTTGTTTTCTTTGTTGTATATTTCAATAGCATTTTGAAAAGGGGTTTCAGCTCTTGGCTGAAAGAAGCAGTTGCAGTGTACATAACATCTCTGTCTTTGCTCTGTGTGTTTTTTCATCACTGCGCATTGGGGTAACTGTACTACATGGTTTTTCATACTAGAGTTATGCGGTCGAAGGAATGGACTTTTAATAAACTGATGTGTGCAATGCTTTCTCAACTCCTTGAGCTGTGTAGGATGCCCTGCGTTGGCAACTTAAAAACATCTTTGCAAGTTCCGTGCAGCCGGGCCCAACACTCTGCACACTTTGTTGATGGGCCCCATTATTGTTGAGCCTGAAGCTGTGTTGTGTGTGCACTGGCCATTAAAAGCTTTAGGTTTCTGCACTACTGTTGGGCCTCTCTTGTTGGATGGCTTGATGACAACTCTCAAGAAATGCCCACTGGTGGTGCTGCCATTTTGTGCTAATGGAATTCAAAGCATCCTTATTTTTCTGCTCTTCACACATATTTCTTTTTCTGTCCTCGTTATAAAATTATACAATTCTTCAAAAGGAGTGTAATAAACCGAGTTTGTTGCGCAGCTTTGTGTCAAACTCGCTTGGCTTGTGTGGTGCCAGCATGACATAGCACAGTGTCAGTGAATGCTGTGCCTGCCATCCTACAGTGATTAGTAGGACAGTAAAAGCACAAATTGCCCCGTATTGAACCCTTCCGTGTTTCATTAGTTGTATAGTTTTACAGGCTTTCTGATTTTTGTGAAATGCTGCTTACAGGGAATTCAATTTCTTTCCATTTCTAGCATTGACTGCACAAATTGTGAACACCCTGTGGTGAATACACTGAGCCAAGAAGCACCCACTAATATTGTTGTGCTTTAGTGTGGAGAATTTCTACTTGAAATCGATAGTTGGACGGAAATCTCTCTGGTCAGAAAGAGGTATGAATGCAACTAGAAAAACGCACTGACCGGAAAAAAAAAAAACACGTTCGGCCCCCGTTCTTAAGGGAACCTGAAATACTTTTTCGAGTAACCATGGAATGGATTGACTGAAAGAGAATATTGCCTCATGAATTCGACGCCGCAAAAAATTTTAAGAATCCGTCCAGTACGAGCGGAATTATCGGCACCATGCAGTCGAGTTACAGTGGCTAGAACAGGAAAGTGTGATGAGTGGCAAGCGGCGCCTATGGAGCGCACTGAAGCCTCCGAGGAGGAGCCGCGTGGGGGTGAGCGCAGTCGTTTATACATTGTTTAAAGGTTTCCGACAGTTTCGTCAAGTGCTTTTTTTTTTTTTTTTTGCGGTGGTACCAGTGCTTCTGTATGCACTCTCATGGCGCGAAAACGAAGTCACTGCTTCGTCTCGAGCTGCACTACAGGTTACAAGTCGAATGTAAACATTCGACAGAAGTCTGTCTGGTTGGTTATGAAACTGGGAGATGTTTTAGACTCCAAAAAAATCTTTGAAGAAACTCAACGTTTCGAAACCAACTTGGTTCCCTCCTCAGGGGTGACTGCGTAGGCTACGCAGCAGCGGCGTCTTCAAAGCACTCGCGGGGTGGATAATGACCCCACCTCTCTCTCTCTCGTCTCGTCGTGAAGCGCAGTCCATGTCTATATACTGGGGGAAGGGTTCCGAGAGAGCGGTTGATGTTATGGGCTGTCCTCTGTGCCACGACTCGAGTAACAACCTTCTCCTCCAGTTCAGCTCGCTTTCAAGGATGGCCGTCGCTTCGAAATTGATCTGGTGATCCAACGTCTCGGCATGTTCGGTGACTGCGCTGCGCTCTTTGTAGAACTACTGCACATCGTTGGCGTGTTGCTCCTGTCGTTCCGGCAGGTTTTTCATCTCGCCGATATACGTCAAGGGGCACTCGGCGCACAGAATTTTGTAAACGACACCGGGGGTCCTGTCTATTGTTGGCCGGTCTTCCGGGTGGGGGAGGAGGTGGCCCAGCGTACACCAACGTGCGCGATGCGAACCCCTTCTTTCTTGAAGATCCGCGCTAACATCTCGCTGGTTCTCTGAACGTATCGAACCGGTACGCGTTTCGGGGGGCTGCCAATTAAGGTTGATTGGGGTTTTCGTGTTTGTGTGTGTGTGTGTGTGTGTGTGTGTGTGTATGTGTGTGTGTGTGTGTGTGTGTATATATATATATATATATATATATATATATATATATATATATATATATATATATATATATATATATATAGTTCAAAAAAAATCAAGCATGTAGGAAAAATTGTTTTGTAAAGGACTGACGTTTCGGCCGCGGGACCGGCCTTCGTCAGAGTGATGTGAACATGCGACGGTAACGCAATATAAAAAAGCCAGTAACGTATCATAGCGCTGTTAATGGCTGACAAGCGGTTGTTAAAAGTATGTGGGAAACAGTGCGCGTGATAAGACAAGAAAAAAAAATGAGATTACAAGCGTGCAAAGACGAAACGAATAAAAAATCATTAACAATGAGTAAAAAATTATGAAGCCACATAATTATGAAGGCCGGTCCCGCGGCCGAAACGTCAGTCCTTTACAAAACAATTTTTCCTACGTGCTTGATTTTTTTTATTTTTTTGAACTTTTACTTCCGGGTCCTATGTTAGCACTTCATATATATATATATATATATATATTGTCACTTATCCGTGCACAAGAATATACTAACAGCATTGAATAGTCATTATTAGTGCGACAATCGGGAGGGGTGCAAAGGTTAAAAGGGTGCTGACACCCCCTGTAAAGTTGTTTGCGCCGTGTGGCGCATGTGTCTCGCCCACAAGCCGCATTTCGGGTTACAACCACTGGGCGGTAGGTGGCATGTTCGCCTTGAGCACCACTATCATCATCATGGTTGGTAAAGTGGTAGCGCCGGCGGTGACCCCTGGCGGAAGGCAAGCCTTGGTGGCGGGCGAGAATTGAGCGAGTCTTTTCTGCACGTGGCGGTTGCCGCGAACAGTTGTGCGCGAGTCCTCGGTGCGTGGCACCGCGGGCTGCGTGTCGGGGGGCCCTCGTGCTTAGTCAAGCATTGGCGACGCTGCCTTGGGTGTGTTATTGTGTTTGTCATAGAGTGTATGGTAATATAGACCTCTCCCTGTTTGTAAACAGTGTGACGTCACTGCGGGCATGCCGCCCACCATACCCTCTCTCGGAGCAGGTGCTGGTTGGCAAAAAAGTTTCGCCGGTGGCATTTTTCTGCATAGCAGAGCTGCGTGTCTGCATTCCTTTGACAGAAATTTCTACATTGCTATGTTCTGAAGTCACAGCTTTAGGAAAAAGGGGGTCACGAAAAGGTAGCTGCTCATAGGGTGGAAATTTGTTCGTCCTAGATGAATGGATGGAGAGAGACGCGACTAGCACGCAGTGGGTTTCACCCACGCAGAAGACAGCCATAAAAAACCTTATCTTTTCAAAAGCGAATGTTTTGAATGTACACGGTAACTGGAACTTTGAGAAATATTTACATGGCATAAGTGTAAACTTATTCGATATCCATCGTGGCATGTGTAATGCAGTTCTAAACTAGGTACAGAATCGGCGGCAGCATCATTTGGAGCTGCTGTGCGTGACGTCACGGATAAGATTCCAACTCAATGCGCAAAAGTCTAATCAGAGGTGAGTGAAAAAAAAACACTTCTTGCTGGTGTTAGGCTAAGGTTACCATATCCTGTATTGTGAAAATTAAAGCGCAATTCTGGCACTGCATTTCTCAGTAACCCAGTGAAAAATCATCTGATGTAAAGCCCAATAACCTAATAATATGTAATATTATCTGGCACAGTTACCTTGCTGCATTTGACACCAATAATGTGTTTTGCTCCTTTAGGCTTGATACACAAACTTCTAATGCGCATTGTCACTTCATAAGGATTGAGCTGTGAAAGTATAGAGCAGATAAGCAACGAAAATTTCCTCTGTTTCCATTTACACATACCAGATATCCGATAATACGAGCTATAGCCATGGTGAAGTGTATATTGTCACGCGCTAAGAGCTCGAACGAACGTACAAAGGGATGCGACTGTCCAAAATCTCAGAGACAAAGAAGGACACCAGTTGTTCGTCTTCGTCTTCCTCGTTCACCAGCACAGAACTGACCCACTGTTCACTGGCACAGAACACCAGGTGACATTACTCCTCCTCCCAAGAGAGCATCGACCCGATGCTCAAACAAAAGTGTGCACAGCAGTGGGTCGAAGTAGGTAACATAAGGAAAGATTAAACAAATTAGTGCACGAGAGAAAATGCGTCCTGTGCCCGGCAATCAGAAATAAACGGCATTCACTGTTCACATGAAGAGTTCACTAGCACAAGAAGAAAATTCGCATCAGCGCGTAAAGTATGGTTTTAGGCGGACTACGTGTACAGTCTCTGGGCGTGGTAACCTGCGCTGGGATGATGGCGAGCCTCCGTCTGGAACCACTTCGTAGTTCACGTCGCTCACACGTCTGAGTACTTTGTAAGTTCCAAAGTACTTCCTCAAGAGTTTCTCACTGAGACCTCGCCGCCTAATGGGTGTCCGAACCCAAACTTGGTCACCAGGTTCATAATTAACTTCTCGATGATGGGTGTTGTACCGCCGTGCATCTGCGCACTGTTGAGTTCAGATGTGCACACGGGCCAGTTGACGTGCTTCCTCAGCGCGCTGAATGTACTCATTGATGTCGGGGGCTAATTGGTCGAGCTTGTCGATGTCCTCATATGGAATCATGGCGTCCAGCATAGTTCTAACATCTCGACCATAAACGAGCCGGAATGGTGTGAAGTGTGTAGTTTCCTGCATTGCAGTGTTATACGCAAATGTTACGTACGGCAGGATGTCGTCCCACGTTTCGTGCTGCACATCCACGTACATAGAGATCATGTCAGCTAGCGTTTTATTTAGCCTTTCTGTTAAACCATTACTCTGAGGGTGATACGCAGTGGTCTTTCGATGGGTTGTGTAACTCAACCTGAAGATATCATCCAAGAGTTTCGCTGTGAATGATGTCCCTCGATCAGTGATGACATGTGACGGGGCGCCATGCCGTAGCACAATTTGATGTATAAAAAAACTGGCAACTTCAGATGCGGTCCCTCGTGGGAACGCTTTCGTCTCAGCGTAACGTGTCAAATAATCGGTTGCGACAATAATCCATTTGTTGCCAGAAGAAGACAAAGGAAACGGGCCTAGGAGGTCCATCCCCACTTGTTCAAACGGTGTACATGGTGGATCGATCGGTTGTAGATGGCCTGCAGGCTTTAAATGTGGTGTCTTGCGACGCTGGCATTCACGGCATCCCTTCACGTTGCGTTTGACACAGGCAGACATTTTAGGCCAGTAGTAGAGTTGTCGCACCCGATCCATAGTTCTCGAGTAGCCCAGATGGCCAGATGTGGGCTCGTCGTGGCAAGCTAATAAGACGTCATCGCGGAGGGCTTCAGGCACGACGAGAAGATGAGATCTGTCACCAGCACCGGCGTTCCTTTTGTATAAGACGCCATTTCGTAAGCAAAATGATGGCAACGTTCGCAACATCCGACGAGGAATGGGCGCAGTGCCACCTTCTAAATGATCTATAATCATTCTTAGATTGGC